TGCTGCCCAACACATGCTGCAGACGAATATCATCCAGATATTATCTGAATAATATCTAAATGGTATAGGTACTATCCAATCAATATCTGAACATCCAGAAATTATTTGAATATCCGGATAATTGACTTAATGGATCTAACTTCTAAAACTGATTGATTAAGATAATAAATGTTAAAAACCCTGTACGGTATTCTAATACTCTAAAATTTATTATTTTAGAATTATTATGTTCAAGATTAATATTGATTAATATTAATAACGACATATATATAGGATTCGATCATCGATTATAAATCGATTATGGCGATTCAATCATCGATTGAAGTTTTTAGAATCGATTCTCATCCCTATATAGATAGATAGATATAACGACCAAAAGATATGCAGAGAGAAGCCACATGAAATGTATTTGCACACTAACATTTCATCCCCATGAAACTTGTTTCACTACGTTCCTAGTATAATAATACCTCTGGCATTTTCAATAGTTTTAAAATACAATAAGATTGTGGCGTTCTGTAATTTAGACATCTTTCATAAAATCTTTTTATCAAATTAAGAGAGAAATGTAATGTTTGAGTAGAAGATAACGAGTCTTAAAAAGTTTATTTCAAATAAAGAATAATAGATTTAGAAGGAAGTGAAAAATTTTTTAGAAAGAAAAATTTTTACTTTGAACTAAAAATAAATTTACAATCATGTTTATTTATTCCATTCGTTTAAATTACCCCCCCCTCGTCTCAGAAGTTAAAATATTGACGTAAACCAACTAATTAAATTGTACCAGATTGCCAAAATCACCAGCAATATAAAACTCTAATAGTATACATACTACATTACTCAGTTTGTAAAGTAATTAATTCATTAAAATAAATTTTTGTGGATGCCCATCTAATTACCTAATTCACACTATTTAATCGACTAGCATACCCTGAAAAAGTGCTTCTATGTGTTTCATAGAATTTGTTACCCCTTGAAACTATTAGTAAATCAACCAAAGGTAATAAAAATTCATACATAATCATACCATCCCTAGGATTTCTTAAAATTTTCAAAGGTTCTAATAAGTCATCAAAGTCATCTAATGTGTATACACATGGAAAAGTTTGAAAGAATGGTTGAAGGGAAGGGTGATTACGTTTTACATCTGTTGCCAGGAATATTATGGTTGGTAAACAAATTTTATCACTTTTTACTTCGATATCCTTAAAATCTATTTGAATTCTTTCGATAAATTTTTGTATCGTTTTATTTTGATTCGTGATAAAGACTCCATCTCCTAATCTTGCATGTACTCCAATAAAAGTACCCTTTCCTCCAATTTTATTAATAATCATATTTACTATATTAATTATAGTTGGATTGTTGGGTAACATTTCATTTATTAACTTTTTCGAAAATTCAATACTTTCGGGTAATTGTTTAACAATTCTAACCGATGAAAATACACTTCCAAAATGTAATAATTTTTCGGTTCTTTTACTTAAGTCGATTAAATTCACTCGTTCTTTAAATTTACCAAGTTTGGTTTTTGATCTAGGATTATCATAATAACGTTGTTGGTATTGAGTTTGATCTTTGGTCACATTATACACTTCAATATTATTATAAATATGAAGTGATTCTAGTAAATATTTAAGATTAAAATCTTGACGATGAACGTATTTGATATGTTGTTTCAAAAATGTAAAGTCCATTAACTCTTCCCAATTATACAATGTATAAGATATTGTTTTGCAATTATTTTGATCTTCTCGATAACATAATACAAAATTACAATTTGTTTTGTCTTCACTAAAACAAAAATTAAATTTATTTTTTTCGAAATTGTCGTTAGGGTGTATAAATTGTGATAAAAGAGTATATAATTCATCATATGGTTGCGATATGATCGGCGCAACTCCTTTGAAAAATATGAGTGGCGGAATTATTAATGTTCTATTTAAAAACCATGCAAGAAATATTGCATTTTCTAATTCAATTCTTTGATTATTAAAACCATCGTGGGGAAGGTAGGTTAAATATTTTTCTTCATGGTTCGTTATATTATTATCAAACTTATTTAATCTTGGCAATGGTTTATGTCCAACAAAATAAAAAGTCAATGAAATCACTAAAATGAAAATACTCGCATATCTTATAAATCTCAACATTATATTACTAGAACTGAGATGTGGTTCAAAGTTTGGTACGTACAATTTCTGTCATTATTTAAATATAATTTTAAAATGGAAAATAAACATTGCACATGCAGGAGCTTCGTCGCCAAACTTTGTCGAATAACTATAATTAGAAACTGTGTGACATCGATAACAGCTGGAAATCCAGAAATTAACACTAACGCTATGATTATACATATGGAGAAAATTTCACGTAGTGTATGGCGTTAATTTTGAAAATCTTAAAATTTTCAATAACGATAATTTAATTAGTAAAATTATTGAAAATTTTAATCTGCAAAAACTAAGATTTAATTGGATGGCAAAGCAAGCAAGCATGTGAATGCATAAAAAAGCTTCACACAACTGCGCGTGGATCCACACATGAACTCATATTACTGCAGTATGTCGAAATTATGTACTGTACGTACGGTACGGTACTATATTTATTTAATCGTACAATATAGATGTGTACCGTATGGTTCAATAATAATACAATATTACTGTCGTGAGATACATGACATATCAATGTTATATATTTTTTTGAAAGATTTGTGCAATTAAATTTGGTTTTATAAAATTATAGCGGTAGAAATATTTCAAAATGCATTAAATTTATTTATGATATTTCATATTTATACCACCAATTTTTTTTTAAAAAAAAAAATAATTTAGGATAATTTAGAAATAAAAACATTATGATTGTTTTAAACTATTAAGTTGTTCACGTAATAAAATTTCCTCCTTTAGAATTTCTAAGTTTTTTTGCCGTAATTCAAGTTTTTTGTTTTCCCATTCAATATAATTGTCTTGTTCTTGTAACATAGGAACCATGGTTAAAGTTGATATAGAAGATAAAGACAAATCTTCATTTTTTTCATTTGATGATTGGTTTTTGCGTTTTTTTTTGTGATATGGACCTTGAGACGGGTTCTTTATGTTTATTTTTTCATTTTTCTAAATAGTATATCAACCGTTAAATTGAATTATATAAATTATTAAAAAAAAAAAATTACACTTACGGGTTCTTTTTGAATTATTTGTCAATCGGGCTAATTCAGATTTATTTCTATACAATTCATGTACGTTATACTTTTCATACATTTTTGCTGAATTCCATTGATGTTGATCAAAATCATTACCCCTATAAATTAAAAAAAATTATTTTTTTTAATTATGTATTAGATTAATATCAATTTATTGAATTTGTATCACAGCTCTAACTTTAAATACATACCGGTATATTGCTGCTAATAAAGATAAAGATCGACCATCGTGATTTATATTAGCATGTGCTGATTCACTAACATTAGTATTATTTGGCGTTTGATTCCAAATATCAGCATCCATTTGAGTAAATGCGGATGAAAGTCCAGCCAATATCCATAGCTTATATTTATCATTGACCCACTCTATTTTTAAATTTAAATCAATATTATATATAATTCGCTTTAGAAAAATGATGTAATTATAAAAAAAAAACCTGCTGCTCCCGGTTCATCGGATTTCTTGATTTTTTCTAATATGTTCAATATTTCTTCTTGTGTATTTAATTTAGTAATAGAATACATTAATTCTTTCGTTTGGTTAGAAATAGCCTTATTCCGAATATTGCTACATATAATAAATGTAGTATTAATTTAATAATATATAAAATAAACTTTAATAATAAATTACTTGCCGATTGAAATGAACTTGTCATAATTTATAAATATGTTTTAAGTGTTCTTCACATGATAAATAATTATACTTCGAATGCAAATATTGCTCGAAACCTATTTAAATAACATTTTGTAATTATTTTTTCACTCTACAGACTGTGCACAGTATACAAAAACAAAATTTTTCTTTTGAATAGATATGCAGATATCACACAGACAAAATTAATATTTTGTAAGTAGTACAATTTGCAGTATTTACCAAGTGCTTGTTCTTGATGTTCATTTGCAATTATACAGCCTAATCCATGACCATGAATGTGCTGAAATTCAAATGGTTTGTGCGTATCATTTTCAACAATATCAAACAAATCCTTGAATAAATATTGATATGCTTTAGCTGATTGAAAATTTGTAAAAACTTGTGCAAAAACTAGTGCTATGAAAATATATATACGTATAATTAAAATATACTATATTATTTATTAATTTAATATGTAATAATAGTAATTTTACCTTTTTG